AGACAGGGATGCCCACTCTCCCCACTGTTATTTAACATAGTACTGGAGGTCCTAGCCACGGCAATCAGACAAAACAAAGAAATACAAGGAATCCAGATTGGTAAAGAAGAAGTTAAACTGTCACTATTTGCAGATGATATGATACTGTACATAAAAAACCCTAAAGACTCCACTCCAAAACTACTAGAACTGATATCGGAATACAGCAAAGTTGCAGGATACAAAATTAACACACAGAAATCTGTAGCTTTCCTATACACTAACAATGAACCAATAGAAAGAGAAATCAGGAAAACAATTCCATTCACAATTGCATCAAAAAGAATAAAATACCTAGGAATAAACCTAACCAAGGAAGTGAAAGACCTATACCCTAAAAACTACAAGACACTCATGAGAGAAATTAAAGAAGATACCAATAAATGGAAACACATTCTGTGCTCATGGATAGGAAGAATTAATATTGTCAAAATGGCCATCCTGCCTAAAGCAATCTACAGATTCGGTGCAATTCCTATCAAAATACCAACAGCATTCTTCAACGAACTAGAGCACATTGTTCTAAAATTCATATGAAACCACAAAAGACCCTGAATAGCCAGAGCAATCCTGAGAAGGAGGATTATGCTCCCCAACTTCAAGCTCTAAAATCACAGTAATCAAGACAATTTCATACTGGCACAAGAACAGAATGTACCAATGGAACAGACTAGAAATCCCAGATATAAACCCAACCATATATGGTCAATTAATATACGATAAATGAGCTATGGATATACAATGGGGAAATGACAGCCTCTTCAACAGCGGGCGTTGGCAAAGCGGGACAGCCACATACAAGAGAATGAAACTGGATTATTGTCCAACCCCAAACACAAGAGTAAACTCAAAATGTATCAAAGACCTGAATGTAAGTCATGAAACCATAAAACTCTTAGAAGAAAATATAGGTAAAACTCTCTTGAATATAAACATGAGCTTGAATATAAACTTCTTCATGAACATATCTCCCCGGGCAAGGGAAACAAACAGAAAAATGAGTAAGTGGGACTATATCAAACTAAAAAGCTTCTGTACAGCAAAGGACACCATCAGTAGAACAAAAAGGCATCCTACAGTATCAGAGAATATATTCACAAAGGACATATCTGATAAGGGGTTGACATTCAAAATATACAAAGAGCTCCTGCACCTCAACAAACAAAAAGCAAATAACCCTATTAAAAAATGGGCAGAGAACCTGAAGAAATACTTTTCCAAAGAAGAAATTCAGATGGCCAACAGGCACATGAAAAGATGCTCCACATCGTTAATCATCAGGGAAATGCAAATTAAAACCACAATGAGATATACCCTCACACCAGTTAGGATGGCCAACATAGAAAAGAATAGGAACAACAAATGCTGGCGAGGCTGCAGAGAAAGGGGAATGTAAATTAGCTCAACCATTGTGGAAAGCAGTATGGAGGTTCCTCAAAGAACTAAAAGTAGAAATACCATTTGACCCACTAATTCCGCTCCTAGGAATTTACCCTAAGAATGCAGGAGCCGAGAGGAGGAGCCAAGATGGCAGCATGAGGAGGGCAGTGGAAATCTCCTCCCAAAACCATATATATTTTTGAAAATACAACACAACTATTTCTAAAAGAGAGACCAGTGGATACAGTACAACAGCCAGGCTACATCTACATCTGTGAGAACTCAGCACCTCATGAAGGGGGTAAGATAAAAGCCACAGCCTGGCAGGACCTGAGCACTTCCCCCACCCCAGGTCTTGATTTTGAGGTCTTGATTCAGGATGCGATCAAGTCGCACCAACTCAGAGCAAATCTGGATCAGGGTCTAAGCAGCACAGAGACCCTCACAGAAGGAGCTGAACTGCACGAGGCTAAAGTGACAGGGTGGCAGCCACTCTGCAGATGAGGTTCAAAAGTTGAGACTGAGCAGGGCCTCAGAGAGCTGGTTGATGTCCCGGCAGTACGGCTCCCGCTGCAAGATGAAGTCCACCCTGTGATCCTGTCCCAGGAACACCTCCAGCAGCTGGCGCCTCAGCTGCTCAGTCTCCTGGGTCTTCCGAATACCACCACTGCCTTTTTCCTCCTCTTCTCTCCCCTGCTCCTGAGAACTGTGTTCTGCAAAGCCACGGGATGGATACTGAGCCTTAGGACACCCCTGTGTCCTAGGAAGAAGCAGAGAGAACATGAAGAGCTGACGAGCATCCAAGAGCTGGGTGACGCCCCATCTTCCCACCCCAGTTCACCGCCCAGCCTACTCCTGGCCGTCTGGTGCCAGTCCTGAAGTTCCCCCAGATGACCACTGAGTAGCAGTATCAACCCACGTCTGAAGGGGGAACTTCAAGTTCCTGTGGAAGCAGAAAGATGAATCCTGCTATTTTGATCTAGTTCTAATCTAAGAAACTAATCACTTACTTAACAGTCCAGCAGAGGGCATGCTGAACACAACTGGCTGGTTATACATAAAAGCAACCATGTTCCAAATAACCCCTTCGAGCACACTGATAAGGGAAAACAAGAGGCAGGAACTTCCCTCCCAGCCAAGAGGGTCTACGCAGGATTCCCTGGGAAGCAATTAAAGGCCAAGTGCAACGCAACCTAAACCACTACAGAATTAAGCAGACAGATTAAGCTCACACTTCCCCCAGATCTCCAGGCCTGCAAGGCCCCTACAGAAAGAAGACCAGGGCTGGGGGCTACCTAGGAGAGTCTAAGGCATTACCTGACCGGCTTCTTCAGGAACTCATCCAGTCTGGGGCCATTTCGTCCCAGCGGGTCATCAGGAACCATGAAGAGGTTCCCCACAAACGTGAAAGGCAGGAGACTGGATGGGGACAGAGAACGAGTAGTCACAGAAGGGCCCTTGCCCACCTCCCAGACAGCTGAGACCAAAACTGCCAGAAGCTGCTGGCTACCGTTCTTTGGTAGCCTTCCCAGAGTCTTCACCCAGTGGCAGGGCAAACTGGCTTTACAGGCCTAGTTCTGGAGTCTGTGCCCTATTGCCAGGGGAGGGCTCCCTCACCGCTCTCTGATGATCGCCGTCCACTTCTCAGACTCCTCTGCCAGATCCCGGAACTGGTCATTGGAGACGATGATCCCATCAGTCTCTTCGGCCAGCCTCACCATGAACCTGTCTCAAAAACCACAGCAACCACACTAGGATTCCCCAAAGTTCCAACTCTAAACAGCATTATTGACTCCCATGACCCCGTTCTGGTGATAGAGATCCGGCACCCACCTCACCCTGACCAAGCCACCAGCCAACTGACGATACAGATGCCATGGGCTAGAGAGGAAACCAAGGCAAACCGTCGCGGTCTCCCAATAGCATGCCCTCCACTCACCACAGTCCCCACATGGTGCCTCGTTAGGAAGAGGCAGTAACATGACTCTGGCTCGGCTCTGTCCTCTTCCACTCTACCCCACTAATCCATCACAAACCCACTGTGCTCATCCTCTGGAAAGCCTTCCACTCCACCCCCTTATTTTCCAGTCCCACCATTACCCCCTTAGCTATCTGCACATTGCAATTAAGATACCACACAGCTTCTGATAGGACCACCCCCTGTCCCCAGCCGTTTACCACCAATCTCTCCTGCCCTCCCCCAAGAGAACATGCTCTTCCCCTATACAAAATTCTTCTCTACTTGCTATTTATCTACTGAATAAAGTTCACATGCTCAGGCCTGGCAGCTGTGGTCCTCTAGAACCTAGCTCTCCCCCACCCTTATGGTCTTATCTCTTCCAGTATTCCCTCATGGACTCCCAACTCCTGCCAGAATCAATGATCAATTACACCCTGTTCTCCAAACATGCCCTGTGCTGTCTGCCTTCCATGTTTCTCAAACTGTTCCCTCCATCCACAAGGTGCTGATAAACAGAATCACCAGGGGAGCTTTTAAAAAAGGAGATGCCTGGGCTCTACTTTAGCAATTCTGATTCCATAGGATTAAGGTAGGACGCATGAGGTGGTGGGTGAGGATATTTTTTTAACAGGTTTAGAAAGCCAGAGATCCAGCCCATCGCTTCTCACCAACAAAACAAGACCTCCCTTTTCCCACAAAACCCCAGCCTGAAGGGCACTCCCTTTTCCTCCAAATTCCTGTAACATTTGATTTGTAGTTTCTTTGGCCCTTTAGGGTCCATTTCAAGTCTTCCCTAGTTCCTAGCATCCCTGCCTCCTGCAAATCACACACAGTCAGTATTTGAAAGACAGTGTGTTATAGAGGCAACTAGTAATCAGGACTAAGTGTGACAGATGTCTGGTTCCGAGTTTGGAAAATAAATTAAGGAGATGACATATAGTGTATATGGTATCATATGATATACGAAAAGTATTTTCAGTTTAAGCATATTTTACTACCATCATATTACATCAAATGCAGTCCAGCAGTATTCATTCAGTAGGCTTATGCTGTGTGCCACTCTACTATTCACTGTAAGTAGTTCCAAAATTCCAAATTCATATTGTGCTGCCTGCCTGTTGGGACCTACACAACTCTACAGACAATAGGCCTTTAAAATTTATTACAACTGACTCAACCTTCAGTTTTGATTTTGTGCAATGCCAGTGTGGAAAGAAGTTTCCATACCTTGGATAATCTGTGAAACCTAGGCATAAAACAGAAATAGCATGGGGAGAAAGTGAACTGCCTTCTTATAAAATACCATTTACTTGTTGGGGACAAAAAAATTAAGTATTGAAAAAACAAAATACCTTATCGCTGTGGCTTTGAACCTAGTTTTTTATTTAAGACTGAAAATCCTAGAGACTAAAGAACTTGTAGGTATAAAATCTTTTAAGTGGTTAATTAGCTTTTAAAATCTGCCCATTTCTGACATTGCGTGCATGTACCTGGGGAGGGAATATTCTGTTTCTTTTTTATTTAAACTCTCTGGCAGCTTGAACTCATTTTTCCTTTGCCACATAGAAGCTGTTGTCCAGAGAGTCAACCATTCTCACCCTCTGTCTACATCTCTGTACACTAGAAATGAGACCCTCTGGCACACTTAATTGGTTGGGTCTGTGAGAAGTTAAGGAATATCACTGTACACTTGCCAAACACCTTGAGTGAGGTGAACCCACATCTTAGCTTCTTTTGAATTCACAGAAGACGAACAGACGGAAGAGGACCCTGGGACAGAGGTTAATCTGCTCAGAGACTAATCCACTAGTCAGTCAATGAGTAGGAACGTGGGGCTCAAATTCAGCTCTTCAAATTCTAAGTCCAGTGATCTTCCTACTGCACCATGTTTTGTATCGTCTTATTACGTGCATGGACTATGTTTCTTCATTAGACTTGTTATTCTGAACATTTACTTTGGTTTTTCCAGCAGGTTGGGGCATTTCTCTATGCATTTGGAAATTAAGGTTGTACGAAGGGCACTTGTCAGTTATTCATGTCATCAGCTTTCCCATCTTCCCATTAAATTAGTATTTTCTAGACAGGAAGGCATTATATAAATACAAGATATCATTTAGTTTGATTAATGGAAAATGAATGATGAATGGGCAAACACAGCTGTCTAACCCCCATCTCATCTCGCCTGCAAGGCAGCTTTGCCTCACCAGTCACACAGGCACACAGGAATAACCAGCCCTTTTCCTACTACCCAGGCTTAGAGGTAGGCAAAGGGTCCGGAGCCACTGTGTATCCCTTGGTCTCCCACGGAGCTCCCTGAATAAGAAGCCTGCGGCCAGGGGGAAAAGCAAGTACCTGTCATCATAGGAAGAGATCCTCCTGCCATCCATGACTCGGGAGGGAGTGAGGGAGAGCAGGCTGAGGGAGTACAGCTTTTGCAGGAAGTGACCCTCTAGAGAAACAGGAGCACAATGAGGCTCTCCTCAAGGCAGCAGCAGGGCCCATCCCTGGACACGAAAGACCAGCCGCAACTCACCTCTGACCTTGGAATCTTTACTTAAGCGCCACTGAGGAAGAAAGACGGTTATGTCGCGGTGGCCACGGTCCCAGAAGTACTGCACAGCGATGGCGATGCCCCGGCTGGAGAAACAGTGCTGGAGGCCGTGCCTGCAGGGGGAAGGGGCCAGCACTCTGAGGCCCCTAAAGAGGGCCTGGTGGCCTGGCTGGAGGGTCAGCCTCTGGGCACATATCACCATGGGGAACACAACTTCTCATCTCACCCCCCTGTCCTCAGCCCCACCAGGTACTCACTCCATGGCCACATTGCTGCCATCGATGACAATACGACACAGGTCTGGCTGGCCAGGCACATTGGCAAGGCACAGGGTGAAAGGGTCCTGTAGGGCTTCCTGGAAACGCTGTGTGCCGGTCACCAAGTTGCCTCCCCGGATGCCTCGTTTCCTCGGAGATCCCCGACCTCTAGCCACGACCTGCTGCTTGTGTCCTCTGTCTCCTCCCTCTCCAAAGTGCCCCAGGGGTCTGGGCGCAGAAGGGGGACTAGGCACTCTTGGAGGTGAAACTTTCCCATTGTGGAGCCGCTGGAGGAGGGAGGCTCCCCGGAACTGAGCTGCCTTCTCACAGGTGCCAATCGCACCAGAAGGTTCACCCTGGACACAGAACCTTCCTCCTTCCTGAAGCACCTCCTCTTTCCCCAGGATGCCACATAGAAGCTGTTGTCCAGAGAGTCAACCATTCTCACCCTCTGTCTACATCTCTGTACACTAGAAATGAGACCCTCTGGCACACTTAATTGGTTGGGTCTGTGAGAAGTTAAGGAATATCACTGTACACTTGCCAAACACCTTGAGTGAGGTGAACACACATCTTAGCTTCTTTTGAATTCACAGAAGACGAACAGACGGAAGAGGACCCTGGGACAGAGGTTAATCTGCTCAGAGACTAATCCACTAGTCAGTCAATGAGTAGGAACGTGGGGCTCAAATTCAGCTCTTCAAATTCTAAGTCCAGTGATCTTCCTACTGCACCATGTTTTGTATCGTCTTATTACGTGCATGGACTATGTTTCTTCATTAGACTTGTTATTCTGAACATTTACTTTGGTTTTTCCAGCAGGTTGGGGCATTTCTCTATGCATTTGGAAATTAAGGTTGTACGAAGGGCACTTGTCAGTTATTCATGTCATCAGCTTTCCCATCTTCCCATTAAATTAGTATTTTCTAGACAGGAAGGCATTATATAAATACAAGATATCATTTAGTTTGATTAATGGAAAATGAATGATGAATGGGCAAACACAGCTGTCTAACCCCCATCTCATCTCGCCTGCAAGGCAGCTTTGCCTCACCAGTCACACAGGCACACAGGAATAACCAGCCCTTTTCCTACTACCCAGGCTTAGAGGTAGGCAAAGGGTCCGGAGCCACTGTGTATCCCTTGGTCTCCCACGGAGCTCCCTGAATAAGAAGCCTGCGGCCAGGGGGAAAAGCAAGTACCTGTCATCATAGGAAGAGATCCTCCTGCCATCCATGACTCGGGAGGGAGTGAGGGAGAGCAGGCTGAGGGAGTACAGCTTTTGCAGGAAGTGACCCTCTAGAGAAACAGGAGCACAATGAGGCTCTCCTCAAGGCAGCAGCAGGGCCCATCCCTGGACACGAAAGACCAGCCGCAACTCACCTCTGACCTTGGAATCTTTACTTAAGCGCCACTGAGGAAGAAAGACGGTTATGTCGCGGTGGCCACGGTCCCAGAAGTACTGCACAGCGATGGCGATGCCCCGGCTGGAGAAACAGTGCTGGAGGCCGTGCCTGCAGGGGGAAGGGGCCAGCACTCTGAGGCCCCTAAAGAGGGCCTGGTGGCCTGGCTGGAGGGTCAGCCTCTGGGCACATATCACCATGGGGAACACAACTTCTCATCTCACCCCCCTGTCCTCAGCCCCACCAGGTACTCACTCCATGGCCACATTGCTGCCATCGATGACAATACGACACAGGTCTGGCTGGCCAGGCACATTGGCAAGGCACAGGGTGAAAGGGTCCTGTAGGGCTTCCTGGAAACGCTGTGTGCCGGTCACCAAGTTGCCTCCCCGGATGCCTCGTTTCCTCGGAGATCCCCGACCTCTAGCCACGACCTGCTGCTTGTGTCCTCTGTCTCCTCCCTCTCCAAAGTGCCCCAGGGGTCTGGGCGCAGAAGGGGGACTAGGCACTCTTGGAGGTGAAACTTTCCCATTGTGGAGCCGCTGGAGGAGGGAGGCTCCCCGGAACTGAGCTGCCTTCTCACAGGTGCCAATCGCACCAGAAGGTTCACCCTGGACACAGAACCTTCCTCCTTCCTGAAGCACCTCCTCTTTCCCCAGGGCCTTCCCTTTCAGGGACCCTACCTGTCTTACCTCTCTGCCCCCTGACTGTGACCTGAAGGCCACTTCCCTCTCCCAGGCCTCTTCCCCAGGCAGCATTTTCCACCCCAAATCCATCTCTCTCAGGCCACTCTGCTGCCCTCCCTCCTTCTCCATAGCATGTCTCTCTCCCCTTGACTCTTGCTGCTCCATAGGTCTGACATCCAGGAACTCCCAGTCTTCTTCATTCAGGGAATCTCTTTGGACTCCCTGGTGCCCAGTACCCAGTGGGCTTGGGCTCCCCGACTCCCAGGAAGGGAGTGCATGGAGCCCCTGCTCCCTGAGCACCTCCTGCACCAGGTTCAGCAGCTCCTCCTGAACGGCCAGGGGCAGCTGCAGGAGGGCTTCTGTGTGAGCATCGCCCCGGGGCTGCAGCAAGGCAGAGAAGTCCCTCCTCACTCTAGCATACTGGAAGGCTGCAGGGAATGGCCCTGGTCTTAAGTCCCAGCTCAGCCGCTCCACCAGCTCCTCCACTCTGCTCTGAGCCATGACGAAGGCCTCAGTCAGGCCACTGACCATCAGTGAGCCAGGCGCCCCAGGCACCAGGTGGGCTGATGTGCTCCAGGCCAGACAATCAAGGAAGAAGCCCTGGGCTCCCAGGAAGATGCAGTGCAGTTTGGCTGGGTAGTGGATTTCATCCTGCAGCTCTGGGCTGCACAAACCCTTCAGGTACTCCTAGGAGGAGGAATTGGGGAAGGGGAGGGAGGAAAACAGGAAACAGCTGCATCTGACATGTCCCAGTAGTCCCTTCAGGCCCATGGCTCCCCCTGAGCATGCCTGTGCAGAGCAATGAAGCCCCACAGAGCCTGACAAAGGTGGGGATTAAAAAAGGATCTAGAACCTCACTGCTTTACCTTTTCCCCTGAAAGCCAGTGGCTAATATTTCCATTTCGAACTTGATACAATTTAAGATAATATTATAATTATGTGGCTACAAGGCTGTCTCTAAATATTTATGTGTTCTGTGTATTTCCATCATAAAGATGTCATTACTTACTGAACTTATGCTTTGCTTTACGTGCGTTACCTCACTCACAATAAAATAAGTGAGGTGGATACTGCTATTACTTAACATTTCATAGATAATGAAACTGAAACTCCAGTCACAAGGCTGGTTGGTGGTGGAGCTGTGCACGCTGCTAGAAGCCCTGGCCCATGCCAAAGAAAACAATGTGGCCTGCCCTCCACCCCACAGTGAATTCCTTGGTGGGCCCCACTTGTCCAACCAGACTCTCTCTAATCCCACTAAACCCGGGCTGGTTTGAACTGAATCACCTGTCTCCAACTCCTGGCAGAACCTGGGTCATCACTGCAGAAATGAAACTGAAACTCAGATAAATACAGATTTTCAAAGTCCCTCAAAGCTCTGAGCCACTGAGGTTGCCAGCTAAACAACAAAAGAGTGGAGATCCTCCCCAGTCCGTCCTCTCCATTAACTCTTGTTTAGGGGCTGGGGACCTTGCATGCAGGAAGGGTCAGGGAGGGCTGTTCACCTTGGCTCTGCGGGCGTTCTCCTTAAGGCCCTCCAGCTGCAGCCAGATGTGAGGGTTCTCGGGACAGTCCTTCGGGAGGACACTCATCCCCACTCTGAAAATGTGCTCCACATGGCTTTGCTGCGCCCACACCTTGTCCTCCGCCTTCGCAGAAACGGCAAAGCGGTCCGGGGACGGGGAGCCAGCCCCCAAGGTAGGCATGGCTGCTTGGCCGCCTAGCCCTGCGAGGAGAGAAGGCAGCTCGGAGCCTCGCCGTCCCTTCAACCCAGTTCTCCCAGCTCACACCAGCTATCAACAGGTCGCACCTAGTTACTGATCCGGTAAACAACCCAGGAGAAAACAAGCACCTCAGTCCATCTTGGGGCTAGGAAGGGAATATCCCATTAGCCGGAAACCGACCTTCTCTCCAGAAAGAAGTCATAGGAAAACAGGGCTGTCTATCTGGGGTGGGCGTCTGGCCTTGGAAGAGCATGACCGCAGCCCCGAGCAGCAATGGTGGGGGCTTCAGCTCGGGCTGGAGGGCAGAGGGGTGGACGGGTGACGAAAGAGTCCCCTCCTCGGGGTCTCTGCAATCTCCGGAGCCGACACACTTCTTAAAGATGAATCCTCACCAAGGTTTGGACGGAGGCCGCCCTCTGGGGAGGGTCCTTGTCTGCCATTTCCAAGGTTTAGCCACCCTCACCCAGGCACTCCTCCGCGATCCACCGCCGCCGCCCCGCGCACAGGGCTCCAGGGCCTCGGGCTCCCGCCGCCCGGCGCAGGGAAAGGCGCCTACCCGCCTGGCCTGCGGCGGCCGCAGTCCCGCCGGCGCCTCACGGTACCCGGCGCCCCCGGCTCCTCCCGCGCCCCCGGCCCAGGGGAGAAGGGCAGGGGGCCCGAATCTGGGCGGGCCTTGGATTCCTCACCGGGACCTCCCCTCTCTACTTCGCGCTGTGTTTCGAGTCACTTCCTGGCCCGGGGCGGAGTCAGCTGGTGCTCCCGGGGCTGGGCCTGCTCGGGGGCCCCAGTGCGCGGCTGCCGACCGCCCCTCCCGTCCTCGCGGCAGCCGTGCGCTTGGGCTCTCCCGGCTCCTCGGGATCTGCTTATTCTGCGCAGTACTTTCTCGGGAAAGAGGGGCCACTCATTGAGAGTTGGAGGTGAAGAGGGCCTTAAAGGGACTAATCCAGCACCGTCGGATGAAGATATGGAAGATCAAGGAGAGAAAGAGACTGGCCCAGGGTCACCTGACATTGTTAGTCTAAGCATTTACCGCCAAAACAATTGTGGTAAAAGACAGGACACCTGCTTTCTTCCAGTAGAAAAAGATGCCACTGAGAGGGCTGTTGGCTTGTGAGGGGTTTTGAGGAAGAGAGGAATGAGAAGGGGAAGAGTCTGTCAGAGCTGTCTCTGGTACATACAGGCACGCACACGTTCTCACTGAAACACCCAAGTTCTCCATTATGCCAGGTCCAGCCTTGACTGCTCTCCAGAGCGGCTGCCCTGGGATTCTGTCCGTAGCCCTCCTGTCTGGCTGCTTCATCCCTCCTCTTCTAGAGCCCACCTGCTGTCATTTCATGCCCTGCCAGGGAGGAGGGAATTGCAGTGACAGCAGGAGTCAGAGACAGGACAGTCGTGGGGCAGAGAGGTATGGGGAGGGAGATGCTGGGACCAGGTGACAGTGAGACCCTGACAGAGTGCTGAGGAGCAGGGTGAGGGGTGGGGAGGGTCTGGCAGGGAGCAGAAACTGAAAGGAACAGAAAGAAGGAGAAGCAGACAGCAGGACTGTGGGTCAGAGAGCCGGTCAACCATGCTGGGAGCAAAGCCACACTGGCCACTAGGTCTCCCACCCAGCCACCCGCTGCCCTTGGCCCTAATGCTTCTGGCCCTGGGGACTGGGCGGGCCCAAGAGGGAGCAGACACCGTCCTCCTGGAGGGGGAGTGCCTGGTAGTCTGCGAACCAGCCGCTGCAGGGGGGCCTGGGGGAGCAGCCCTGGGAGAGGCACCTCCTGGAAGAGTGGCATTTGCTGCAGTCCGAAGCCACCACCATGAGCCAGCAGGGGAGATCAGCAATGGCACCAGTGGGGCCATCTACTTCGATCAGGTAATCCCCCTACCCCTGTCCACAGGACCCTGCAAGGACCTGGACTCAACTGTCCAAGCCCACTTTGCTGTTAAGGAAACAAACCTCCTATTGTGGCCATTTGCCCCTCAACCCCACTGCCTTCCTCCCCTCCCTACACTCCTACCCACAACCCTCCTTGGCCTGTCTCACCATTTATTTTGAATGCGTGGATTCCTCCTGTTCCTATCCACTTGCCACCCCTTCTCCTTCTTACTCACTGCCCCTTTCTCCAACCCAGTGGTTTCCCTGAGGCCCAGGCATCCCCGAGCCCCACTCAGCAGGGTATGCTTCCTACAGGTCCTGGTGAACGAGGGTGGTGGCTTTGACCGGGCCTCAGGCTCCTTCGTGGCCCCTGTCCGGGGTGTCTACAGCTTCCGATTCCATGTGGTGAAGGTGTACAACCGCCAAACTGTCCAGGTGACGTGAGCACTGAGCCCCATCCTGGCACAAGAGGGGACAGAGAACAGGGAGGGGGAGTAAGAGGAATCCAGCTGACCCCTGACCAGACCCTCCATTGACCTGGTCCTGGAAGGGCCTGGAGCAAGAGAGGAAAAGGGCCTGCCTAGCAGAGAGCATGGAGGAGGTGCTGAGTCCAGCACTGGCCACCCCTCAGCTGTCCCAGAAGAGTGCACTGAGCCCCAGGTTCCCAGGATTCTGAAATGTCCCTGGGGACTGGAGAAGAGGGCAGCCTTGGGGACAGTAGGCGTCCTGGGACAAAGGTTTGGAGAGGTGCTGACTGGGCTCCCCTCCACAGGTAAGCCTGATGCTGAACACATGGCCTGTCATCTCAGCCTTTGCCAACGACCCTGATGTGACCCGGGAGGCAGCCACTAGCTCTGTGTTACTCCCACTTGACCCTGGGGACAGGGTGTCCCTGCGCCTGCGTCGGGGGAACCTCCTGGGTGGCTGGAAGTATTCAAGCTTCTCTGGCTTCCTCATCTTCCCTCTCTGAGGGCACAAGCCTTTCAGGGATAGGAATATAGGTCCTGCCCTCTCTTGTCCCAGAGGCAGCATCTTTGGGGTAGGAGAGACTCCCTCTAGCTGTCTGTATTCCACTGCCTTGCATGGGACCCTGTGCCAAACACCCAAAGAGAAGAGTAGTGTCTGGGGATCTGGCCCCTCTGACCTGCCCCTGACCCCAATTGCCCTCCCAGCCTTCCACTCATCTCTTCATGCCTGCAGCCCTAGGGTCAGGGCAGGGCTCGGCAGGTAGGAAGGTCTGTGCTACTTTGCAGACTCTGCTCCTTCTGTTCCCCTGCCCCCAGCTTCCTGCTCAGTGCTATTTGGGGACAAGTGAACCTGACAGGCCCCCACAGGGGCCCAGATGGACCAGCCTCAGCATACCCTGCATGCTCCTTCCTGTGAGTAGTGCCAGCATCATGGATCTGGGCCAGCACAGTCAGAGCTTAGCCAGAACCATATGGGCTAGGGCGGGAGGATCAGCCACCAGGAGTGTGGAGAGGGCCACAGAGCAGCCTGACCCCTGTGACTGGTGGGGCAGGAAGGGGGCCTGTGCCCAGCCTGAACATGGATGGTACACATTTTTCATGTGCATTAGGACAGCCAGTAAGCAGGGAACCCAGGGGTCCATCTGCCAGGTCCCAGATGAACTCTGGCCCTCATCTCCTCACCCAAGACATAAGGTGTGTGTGTTTGCTCTGGCCAAGAGCAGGTGTACCAAGCTTTCTCAGATAGCTGGAGGTACGGGTAGAAGGTCACACGTGGGCAAGTATAGATCTCCAGGTATGGAACACACCAGTGACTGTGGTCACATCCCAGAACCGCTCCACCTTTGTAGTCTGAACTTCAGTAACTCCACACCCTGACCACCACCTCCTTCCTCCCAGCTCTCAGAACATACACTGTACCTGTTCCAGACTATCCCACAACCTCCTTCTTCTCCCGATTTATACTGTCTTATCCTCCTTCTTAAACTTCCTACTACCTTGGATTCCATGATTCAAGACCCTCTTCTTCAGCCACTCTCCTGCCACGATTATAAACTCTCTGTCTTAGCTTGCTGTCCCATTGGCCCAGCATGGATGAATCAATAAAGCAACTAGAGAATGACGGTCAATGAGAAACTGTAGGATCACTAGAGAGAGAAGGTGCCATTACAATTTAGATCAGGGGTTATAGGACACAAGCAGGTATACTGTAGAGAAAATCTAAAACTGCATATTAAAGTCAAATAAAAAGGGGGGTTAATAATGCTTGAATTAAATAGAAAATACCAATCTGAATTTGCGGTTTTTCACAAGAAATAACTTCTTCAAACTTTCTCACTATAGTAGCATAGAAACAACATCAGGCAAAATCTGACATATATTCTTAACACCTGGATCTTTGCCTCAGCTATTATTCACCTTTAAACGAACTCAGAGTTCCTTGGAGAATAGCTCCATGTCTTAAATAACTCTAGGCCTGGAGCATGTTGTTGATGACAGAAAGCAAGGAAACTTTTCAAAGTGTTAGAGTAGAGCTGAAAAAGCAAAGGAACCAATTTTTAAAAGTCTTCCAACCTGACATGTGGTGACAATTTGATCATCAGAAGGAAAATGATATAGTTAATTAGAGCAAGGTGAACTTTTAAAGTGCATGACTTCGTAGTGATACTCAAAAAGGAAAAAGTCTCTATAAAATGTGGGAAAAGGTGGTTAATATGCTGAGTGAAGAATAAATATAAGATTTTTTGGTTAATTTTGATAAGTAGAAGAGTATAAATACAGCAAGTATTTTATCTATTCATAAGGTAAATTTCTTTTTCTTAATCTGTATAAGAAGCCAAGAGTGATATTCCAGAAAAAATTGGAACTGTACCAAGAATGAAAGAGACTGATTGGTGCCATCTGGATATACATTACAACTAGGGAGAAAGAGTCCAACAGTGTGCTACAAAATGATGAATCAGTCAAACATCCAAAAGATAATTGCTCACTGCTCAAACTTAATCCTTCATCTCTTGGGAAAGGGAACCTCTCTGTCATCATACTAACTATAATGAGATTACAGTAACAGTAAAGCCCAAAATAATAATAACTTAAATAAAATGGAAAGTTATTTCTGTCTCACATAGAAGAATTTTCAAATAAAGAGTCCAGGGAAGAATGGCAGTTTTACGATCATAACAGCCCAGTTTTCCTTCTTGCTGTTCTACCGCCTTTAACATGTCACCTCATAACCCAAGATGGCTTCTTGAGTTCCAGTCATTACATCAGGCTTACAGCCCCAGTGAGGAAGAAGAAAGGGCACCCCCCTTTGCTTTAAAGAAGCTTTCTGAAAAGTGCAGCCAACATTTCTGATTGCACCTCACTGGCAATAATTTAATCACACCTGGCCACAGGAAAAGAGACTAGGAAATAATCTTTATTCCAGGTAGCCATGCCCCACTAGCAGTCAGGAGTTTTGTATTAAGGAGGATGAGGAAACTTCATATTGGGAAAAACAACCATATGTTTTTTAAAATGTAAGGGAGCTAAATAAATTTATAAATAATGATAGTCATTATATTGTTCTTTTGTTGTATAACAAATAACCATAAATTTAGTAGCTTAATACAACACCTTTTATTATCTCACAATTTCTGCAGGTCAGAAGTTCAGCAGAACATGACTGAATTCTCTCTTTGGGGTTTCATAAGTCAAAAGCAAGGTATAGACAGAGCTGCCTTCCTTGCTGAAGGTTAAAAATCCACTTCCAAACTCATTCAGAATTCAGTTCCTTACAGTTGTAGGACTGAGGCCTCCTCCACCTTTCAGCCAACAATGTCAGACCAGGTCCTTCTCACACTTGGAATCTCTCTGTCCTACCTTTCTGAGACAGGGACCGTGGGTGTAGTCAGAGTAGGGTGAGGGCCTCCAAAAAACGCAGGATATTTGCAGTCAGAGCAATGTAACTACATGCAAGGAGACCCCCTACCAAAACCCTGTGCTACACCAATAAGCTCTAGAGTCATTCTTAAGTGAGATCAGTTAATATACCCCATATAAAGAAGAGTAGTACATGTTTTATTATGCTAACTGTGGGTAAAATTGAAATATTTCCAGAATGTCTTGCCTGGTTTTGGTGCATCTGCATATCAACAGTTCAGAGGTGTAAACAACTAGGCTTTAGTGCATTTGCATCTTTCCTCAGGGGTGGAGAAGTTCATCTCCATATCAGTGGGTAATTACCTGGGCAACAGAGGGCTTATCTGTACCTGAGAGGTGAGGGGGAGGGCCAGTGTTGTGGCTGCTGGAGCAGGAGAGAGAGATGAGTCAGACTGCAGTTTTGTAAGCAATAAACCGGTTTTAAACTTTACTTCTCCCTTTGACTGATTTTGGTTTTTAGAGGTATTTTGCCCCGGGATTTCCTTTCCCCAGACTTGCATTAACCATTTATAGTCAAGTGTAAGATTCACTTTAGCATACTGTTGGATTCTCCCAGAGGAGGACGCCGCCCCAAATCACTCACGAAAGGCGTCTCTTGATGCAATAAGCAAGAGGAATTTATTCAGGAACCAGCTAGCTGGGGTCCAAGTTAGCCCGACGCAGCGGGTCTCAACAAGGACCCTGAGCACACAAAGCCAGAAGGTTTTATAGCATTTTCAAAGGGGGCAACATTTTCCACAATCACAATACAGTGTTTTTTCATAGACACATAAATCTTTGGCTGGGGCCACATCCTGGGGTCTGGTTAGATAAGATTACCTTCGGAATTGTGTATGATTAACTGATTTGAGGTCAGCTAATTAAAGGTCACTACATTTAACACTGGCTGACTAACTTGTTTTTCAAGATTCTAATAATTTTTCCTCCTTCTAGGTTAGGGGGTGGTATTTAAGCCTTTAAGATGGCTGTACTTATGCTAACTTTTGATTCTTCAGATCCTACAATACTAAATGGCCCAGGCCTCTGTGCTGTCTTTCCTCCTTCAGATCTGATGAAGTGATTTCACAAACTGGGAAACTAATTTAGCAAGTAAGCCCAGGCATAAACAACACAGTAAAAGGCAAGGAGGATTCCACCTAAAAGATAAGGTTGCATTTTAAAACCCAAGAAGTTAAGAAGTTAGAAATTCTTAACTTACTCTTTAGCAAACAATACCTCAGCCCACCTTGGGGGCTGGGCAGGTGGCCTTGTTTCATATGCCCCCAGACCAAGATGCTGGTATCTCAGGGAGAAATCATCAGAGCAGGAAGTTGCTTGTGTTAATTCTAAATATTCAGGGAACCTTAATAAGTCCACACCCCTAAGCTTTTTTCATGTTCTCAAAACTCCTCACCTACCTATAAAACTCCTAGACAACCCACCACCCTGGACTCTCTTGTCCCCTCCTGGTGTGAGCCAGGAGCTCTGTCCTTTCACTTTATCTCTAAATAAAAGCCTGTACCCTGCTCCCCTACCTTGAGTGTTTGTGAGGCTCATTCTTCAGCTTTGTGAACAAGAACCCGGCATCACTTCTGCCACACTGACTTCAGTGAAGAAAGTTCCGTGTCTTAAGGTCTCGTGTGATTAGGATTGGACCCACCCAGAATAATCTCCCTATTTTAAGGCCCATAATCTAAATTACTTATGGAAAAGTCCCTTTTTCCATGAAACATAATATATTCAGAGGTTCCAGGGATCAGGACATGGGTATCTTTGGAACATATGCATATCATAATCATTAAAATTAAAGATCATGTGAAGAAAAGACGTTCAGTTATAATATACTAATTGCATGGAAAATATGTGGACTTGAAAAATTCCTGTAATATACAGGATAGACACTGGCCCAGGATTTAATGATTTTCAGTGAACGAGTTCCCGGGTACCAACTGTTAGGCAGAAAATAGATATAAGCGGGGTGGAAAGAGAACAAGGTCAGTAAGGTCCCCTAGAAAGGACTGTTAACCAATCAAAACTAGAAAGCGAGAAAAGACTCAGAGTTAATGAGTTAATCAGTTAAGCCCAAAAGGTCAAGAGCAACGTGGCCTCAAATGTTTGAATATTCCCCAGATAAAGAGAAGTATCTGAGCACAGCCCAAGTCTTCACTATGTCAATTGTATCATTGTAAGATTTACTCTAGCCTGCTAAAAGGCCCGCCTATAAACAGTATAATAAAGTCAGGGAGATCCCACCTTAAAGCCAAAATTGTATTTTGAGAAAAACCCAGGAAGTTAAGAAGATTCTTAATGTACTCTTTACCAAACAACAAATAACCCTGCCCACCTTGGAGGAAGGGCAGACAGTCTTGATTGATAAGCTAATTTTGCAGAATTACCTAGAGGACTGATAAGAAACTTAATGTCTCATCAAAGATACTTGAGACCACTTAACAAGTCCACACCCCTAGCCCTTTGTCACATTTCTGAAAAAAAATCCTCAAAAGGGGTAACCCCCAACCTTTCATATCCTCTCTCTGAGGTCATCCACACTTTTCAAGTGCATAAACTTTTAAACTTTCTCTCTCCAACCTTTCAGGGTGCCTTTTCTTGCTGAGGTGGCCTATACTTTTTCTCTCTTTAAGTAACTCTAAATAAAACTTTTACTCTGCTTCACTACTGTCTCTGCCCTTCATTTATTTGTTGCCCTGCGGAAAAGGACTAAAGAAAATACACAACGCTCCCCCAACACAAACAAGAATACATTGATTAATAATCCAAAACTTCATCTGCACTGAGATAATGTTTTTTCTTTGGATATCCAAATTCAAAAATTGGTCTGAACTGAGATAGTGTCCCTCTCTTACAAACCCATTTTTAATGGGTATTGGTGTAATAAATTTTATAATTCTCAGGTGTGTGCTTTAGCAAAATGTTTGATGCTTTTATACAAGCTTGACCTACTGGTGATTCTATTGAAATATTCAAGAGGATTTAAGTTTGCAATAAATGTTTAAATAATTTGACATATACAAATGTGTAGGTTTTAATTCCACTATTGGGTATCCACCTGAAGAAAAGGAAAACATTAATTCAAAAAGATATATGCACCCCAATGTTTACTGCAGCTTTATTTACAACAAAATATGGAAACTTTAGTGTACACTGATGGATGAGAGGATAAAGAAGATATAAATACAATGGAATACTATTTAGCCATTAAAAAATGAAATTTCACCATTTGCCACAACATGGATGGACCTTGAGGACATCATGACAAGTGCAGTAAGTCAGACAGAGAAAGACAAACACCACATGATTTCACTTACATGTGGAATTTAAAAAACAAGACAAAGAAAATCAAACCAAACCCAGACTCACAGAGATGGGATTGATAGTTGCCAGAGGAAAGGAGGATGGTGGGTGGGGGCAAAATGGGTGAAGGGGATTAAGAGGTAAAAACTTCCAGTTAAAAATAAGTAAGTCATGGGGATGTAATGTAATGTACAAGTATTGTACAGCAAGGGGAATACAGTCAATACCATTGTACTAATTTTGTAAGGTGACAGATGGTAACTAGACTTGATGTGATCATCTGACACAGAATTGTCAGATCACAATGTTGTATACCTGAAACTAACATAATATTGTATGTCAATTATACCTCAAATATGAAAAATAAAACTGAAAAAAAATGTAGGTTTTTATTTGGTTATATAAATAATGTTTAAATGTTTAGACAGTTTTTGCTTAAATAAGTTTATGAAGTAACCAGATTAAACAATAAAGCACAGATGGTGTTAGTGTTTCTCTCTGGGTAGAAAAACTCAGACTTTAAGGATCCTAGGAACAGAATACAACTGCCCTGCCGTCCCTATGCCCACAGCCTAGCAGCTGTTTACTACAGAGAAAAGTCTCACCACTGAAAGAAGTATGGATCTAAACCCATGGTCTCCAGCCACCCCTGGTCCTCAGTCCTCCAAGCTATCTTTTGTGTTTTCCTTTGCCAGCTTCTTTCCTCATCCTTCCCAGAATCCAGCTGAAGCCTCCTTAAACCTTTCACCCAATTCAGTCCCCACTGTCAGCAGCAGGTGGTTCCCTTACTACTTCACAGAAAGAGCAAAAACAGAAGGCAGGAAAGAACCCTTCCCACCACCCCATCTAGAAACTCACCGTCCTTCTCATCTCTGCTTCTTCCCATCTGGCTCAGTAGAGGATGTATCCCTCCTATTGTCAAGGCAGTGCCGGCCATCCTCATCCACCAGCCATGGAGCCTGTTTCCTCCAAACATACTCTTTTATTTTCCTCTCCTCTCTTCTGTATGTTCAACTTCTCCCTCCTACTTACTCCTTCCCTCAGCAGTTAAATAGACTCAAGTCTCTTAAATAGAAGATGAGTATGGAAATAGTTGTACAGACATAGTTACCTTCTGCTCTATATGCCCCTGCAGCTAATTAGCGTCATCTCTCCTCTTTAGAGCCAAATACCTGTGCTCACCAGTTGCTCTCTTCTTAAGTTAACTATGGCCTCTGCAGCTCCAGCTAAACTACCCTCAACTGTCCACTCACAACTTCTGAGTCACTAAAGTCAACACTCACCAGTCGTTCTGTTACTCAGGCTCTAACACTTGGCCCTGTGGGCCAATCTCCCGGGAGCCTCCCTGGGGACTGCCTGACTATGCACTCTGCCCTCCCCCGCCCCCTCTCCGCCCAGGCTCCAGTTTCTTTTTCAGGCTCCTCTACCTCTGCCTGTCTCTTAAATGTTGGTTTTCCTCAAGGCTCTGCCCTAAGATTCCTTCTGTGCTGACACTCTCAAAAGCACAAATTCCCAGCCATGTGCTAACACCATCCACATTTCTCATCTCTAGCCAGGATCTCTCCCCTAAATCTCAGGCTCATACATTGGATGTCTGTAAGAATAGAAATAAGTTAGCATAAGCATACCCATCTTAAAGGCCTAGAAGCCATTTTCTGAGTATGTGACTTAGAAAGAAAAACTGGAACTGGGTAAGGCCTTGAAAAACAAGTTAATCATGAACACCAGGTGGTAGGCAGCTGTGGCCTTTAGTTAGCTAACCTTGGTCAGCTAATCTTACATACCAAACTTTTCCAGCAGAACCTCCCTGACAATTGAAGAGTGGTCTTATCTTGCTCTTGCCTAACCCCAGGATGTATGTCTTGC